GGGCTGCATTGAAAACGTACACTTTTTCAATCATCTACTCTGCTTTTACATTGTCTGTGTAGCCTGACTTGAGCCCTCACAAATATATAAGACAAACGCATCGCACTAAGCAAACGACTTTCGTTATTGCTTTTGGGATGATAGCAAAAATCGATAAAGTCGACACCATCCTAAAAGCAAAACAAAAGCCGCTCGCGTATAGGCACGACGCGTGCCGATTTGCGGCTGCGAGGTCTCAAGCCAAGCTACGCGGAAGGTTTGCTGTGATTAATTCGTTTCCTTAGGAGAAGCACCCAATGAAAACTTTTTTATCCTGATTCTCTATAATTAGTCGCTTCAAAAAAAACCTACTAGAAAGTTCTTTTAGCGCTACAAATGCTGCTAAAAACTTTGATATATAATCATTTCTTGATTCACTTTATGTTCTTCTATTCCTTCTTGGACAAAACAAGAAGACGGAGAAAGAAGAAAAGTGGCTTAATTTCTGGAATTCTTTATAAAATTACGTTGCCGGCGTTCGTCGCTCGTTGCAATGTCATCGGGGCGAGTAAGTTGAGCAGTATGCCCAAAAGCTACAACTTGCCACATCAATTACATGATAACAGCGCTTGGATTAAACATGTGCATAAAATTTGATTCGATCTAAAGAAAATAAATGTGATGTGTAACCACCACATTTCAAGCAAAACAAAAAAAACTAACCGCTCTAGCAGGATGGCGTGTTCTACATCGTCGACAGTAGCGAGCTTCGCTTTGACGGATATCCAAAGCAATTCTAGCATGCCTACGTCCGCAATCACAATACATGGAGTTGCGGGCCTCTTCGACTCTCCCACAGATACGATCCCAGATCTCTCCAATTTCGTGATGCTGTACATCAATATTTACGGAAACAGCAGCAAAAATTGCATTTTGCAACTGACAATATCATTTCTGCATGGACGAATGCGATTAAAGTTGTAGGCCTTTCGTGCTTCCGGCGTCGAGAGTACTTGATACGCTTTCTTAACCATTTCATACGCTTCTTCAGCTCCTTCTAGTGGATTCTGGCAAAAACGTACGTTAGACAAATCCAAACGCAAGAAAATCCATTAGTTACCTTTTCAGGGTTCAATAATGCACTGAGTTTTTTGTAATGACGGCGCACATCTTCTTCCGTACATGAAGCCTGAAGACCTAGAACTCCATAGGCATCCTGACATCTTGGAAAACCCAAAAACCGCTCCAACGCTTCTTCGCCTAAATATAATGAGAACTGCAAAAAAATTTTGGAAAAAAAAATGATCAGTGAAGTTACTACCTGTTGATGGCAAAATGATATTTTCTTCTAAACCCCACATGATCGGTTCGGGTTCACGTAAGCGTAAAAGGCGCCGAATGTCCATCTGCCGTATAGAAGAAGCGAAAGAACTATTTTAAAAAGTCCATTAAAAACATAGACATAATCCAAAACCAAATTCGAACATACAATACTGCGATATTGATCATGAACAAAAAGCGCCTCATGGTTGACTGTATCGAATCGAAGAGAAAAGCGATGCTGAAGTTTCCAAGTACGTGCAGCGCGAGTTTCATATGAAAATTTTAAGGAATATCTTGCGAAAATGAACAACATACCTAAAAGACGTGACATCGTAGATTTGAATGCATACATCAACCACTAGATTCAAAATCCATTTGAAACCCAGTTCAATGCAATAAGAAAGCACAGCAATAACAGCAACTGAAAGCACATCAGTGATAAATGTCAGAGGGTTGACCACTGTAATCTATAGTGTGGCCCAATAAATTGGCCCACTGTCCATTACTCTTTTTTCTGATCTTTTCTGAGCCTTCTCATTTCGAAGAGCAGGACTGAATTTAGATCAAAAATGTTCGTAACTCCGCTTCCAGTGTTACGACGCAAAGTTCTGAACGCCTTTAGTGCTGTCATTTGCTATGTGCGTTGAGCTACAGATAGTATAATAACTCTGAGCCCAAATACAGCCATTGACCACGTATGGCTTTGAGCCAAAGCTGAGTTTACCCTGATTCCCCGCAGATAAGCTGCACTTTGAAAGCTTCGCCACGTGCAGAACGTCCGCCGCGGCAGAACCAATCCTCGCTGCATGCACCCCCCCATAGACGGCAGGGCATGGAGGAATGTGGTATGCACAGTTTAAAGAATAGTGAGCTCTGATGAAGCATGCGCGACGAGACGTGGTTCTGCGCCCAATAGGATTCAATGCGCGGCTTATCTTCAGTGAATTAGTGTAAGAAAGGCAGCTATAAACCCTACGAATCAACCGCAACTGTTGAAGGTACAAAACCTGCTATGAGTAGAGATCGAAGTTCAAGCTAGTCTTTCAAATTGACTTATCAACGAAGAAGTTTCGAAAATGAAGTAGTTATTGAATATCAAACGGGGGGCACATTTCTGTAAAACGCTACTTTTTCAGCTCTTTAAGCATTAATACAGGACGAAAATGGCGACATACTTTTTATGACACCTTCTGCTGAGGAAAAAGATAATTGCTTTTATATGAACACAAAAGAGTTTTCGAAAGCTCTTGCGCGCTCTTACTAGTCATAGAAATTTTGAACCAGTAATGCCCAATTTAGTGATCTGAGAGACAGAGAACCAGTGATGGGTTTTCGTTAGTCATTAGTCTTCACCTGTTTTATCCAGCCACCAATTCTCGTTGCGTCTGCGCGAAGCACGTCTTCTATGTTGTGGCTGGCTTCCATTGCTTGTAGCGATCGACGCTTGTTTCTTTTTTTCCATTACTTCGACACTACGCTTTGGATGAGCTGCAACATCAATCTCAGTTTCCGTACCATTTCCTTCAAAGAGAACACAGCGCAGGAAAGAAAAAAGCTTGGATCTTAAAACAAGAGCAAAAAAGTACCCGGAAAGACAGAGCTGGATCTTGATCTCTCACTAACTATAGCAGCTCGCATAGGTTCTGAAAACCAAAATTAAATTACATGTGTGCGCTGAAGAGGAAATTATACCTCGTTCACGCTTAGCAACTAAAATATTTTCAGTCTTTACAGTTCCTTTAGAAGCCCTAGAAGTAAGCTTTTGGAGAACCTGTAATCATTTTGATTTAGATATTTACACTATTTAGTTCCAGTGGATAAAAATTACCTCGTACTTTGATGGAGCATCGACTGCAGCACTATGGCTAACGATGGGAAGAGACGTGGATTCACTCAATTCTGTCTGAAAAAAGATTCAGTTTTTCATTGCTCGTATTAGGAATGCAAATGGTCAAGTCATGAAAAAGTAAACGCCCTAATGTCAAAAAAAAGAAGCCTATGATTCAAGTGAGAAGACTGTACAAGACAACCGCCGCCAAGAATGGATTAACCTTATCCTTCTTCAATATGAACTTTTTCCTCATAATCTTTTGAAACTCAACCGACTGCTCGCATTTTGTCTTGCGGTCTGCTGAAAAGGGCTTATATCACAGGAACAAAACAAATAGTAAAGATGGACACCTTTCATTCTCCAAGCCTTCGAGCTATTAGTGCTTACAACTTCACCTTTTTTGGAAAAGCCTGAGCGATTTTCACTCTCTGAGTGTGCCTGCAGCTTTTTCGCCTGGATGAGAAGATTGATTCTTGTGAAGAGGACAAGATTAAGATTACGAGCAGAAGATAAAAAGCAAACCTGCGAAAGCGAACTTCCATCGCTGCCCCCAATTTGATCGCTTCGAGCAGCTACGTCACGATAACTTAAGAGCATACTACATTCATATTGTCAAACTGGCACTTATCCTCTACCTTAAAGGTGGTTTACTAGATACCGGAACAGCAGCCTGTGCAGTGCGATCTCTTGCATCCAGTTTTGAAGTAGAGTACTTCTTAAAGGGAATTCCAAACACGCTACTTCGGTCTTCATCATCGTTATGTACAACGGTGCTGAAGTTGGATATCTCTTCTGGCGTTGTCACATTTTGAGTAGGTAACGTGATAGTCGTTATGGGATAGTGATGATGGTTTTCAACCTGAATGCCCAAGCTGATCGAAGATTACATACTCGACAGAAGCTCAGTCTCCGAAAAGCGTGATTTAAAATGACAAAAATACCGCAATCTTTATATGAAGCTCCAAAATGCAAACTCTTATATCTTGAAATTATTACACAGGTAACTCGCTCTGCTCACAAAATAAAATAAAGAAAACAATGATGAAACAGTTATCATTGCCTTCAACAGTGCTATGTAACCAAATTACCACGTTATGGGTATGGGTGTGATGATGGAGATTATGATGATGATGATGGATTTGTGGCTGTGCTATAAACGTTGGCTGCCCCTGAAACTGCAGATAAACGCTTAAGTTGAGTGAATACAAATAAAATCGCTCAAGATACTGAACAAGTCTCTGAGGTTTCAAGAGCACAGAGCTCTTGTATAGACCCCAGGACAGCAACACAGTGGCTATATATATATATATATATATACATATATATGTACATTTACGTATATAT